AGCCAGTGGATCCATCAATGCGTGATCCATCAGTGAAAAATCTTCTATTGCAATTGACTTGTTGGTACTTTTCAGCAAAAATGCGGGAAATTGAGATAGGTCGAAGTTGATCTGGAACTCCTTGAATAGCCTGTTTCATGGAGAGATCATAGTCAAAGGGGGAACTGTAGTTAGTAAAGCATACACGAGAGGGGTTATAGCAAGGAAGGCTTATATCCGATGACATATAATAAAGATAGAATCGCACGAATCTAGACTGAATGCTCAATTCGAGCATTTCTTCGAAGTTTTCACTCACAAGGTTGTTACTGACACTACATTTAATCAATATTCTTAATGAGAGCTCCCAGAAACGGTTCTGCAGGGAATTTACGCCCGCTAGGACCTCTAGGCTCATATTGTGTTTTGAATGCATACAGCCAAGGGCAATACGTAAACAACGATATTGAATGCGTTCCAATTTAATTAGGTGGGCTTTTCTTGCCGAGAGGAAGCAAAAAGAGCCATACTCAAGAACTGAAAGAATAGTCGTTTTGTATACTTTAATGAGGTCTTCCGGGTGAGCACCCCACCATGTCCCGGAAATTGATCGTAGAAAGTTGATCGTTTGTTGACACTTTTGTTTCAAATACGTAATGTGGGTACCCCATGTGCATTTTGAATAAAACCAGACTCCAAGGTGTTTGAAGGTTAAAGATTGGGTTATGTCTCTGCCCAAAAGATTTAGACGCAGTTGGGCTGGAAAACGCTTCCTTGTAAACACTACCAATTCAGTTTTTTACGGTGAAAACTCGATCTCTAAATTTCTTGCCCATAAAGACAGATTATTTAGGTAATTTTGCAATGGTCTTTGCAAGATTTCTGCACGTTATCACGGCATCGTTTGCAAGCTGTCTAAGCGTGCATAGATTATCTTAGCAGTTATCAATATCTTTGACATAGAAATTATAAAGTAAGGGACTTAAACATGAACCTTGGGGTAAGCCCTTGTAGCTAATTCTAGAAGTTGTCAGTTGACCTAGATTGAAGGTCATTTGTTTTTGCGCAAAGGCCAGTTGAATATCAGATGAAAGCATCGCTAGACAATCGTTTGTTCCTTTACTCTTCCGGAAACCAAATTGCGTATTTGAAAGTAGATTGTTTGATTCAACCCAATGGTCAAGTCTTAATAGGATCATTTTTTCTAATAATTTCCTCAAGCATGATAACATAGAGATCGGACGGTAAGAATTGTGATCAGACGCTGGTTTCCCAGGCTTTTGAATAGCTATTACTTTAACCTGTCGCCATGCTAGTGGAACTATATTGAATTCCATAAATGAAAATATAGGTTAAGTAATCGTCTTTTAGCGATATATTTAGGGGAGGTTTTTTAGAAGGTCGAATTTGATCATATCGCTTCCCGGAGCAGAGTTATTCGATGAAAGAAGTGCCATTGAAAATTCCAGTATTATGAATGGTTCATCCAGAGAACCGTTACTTCGGGCTGTATCCCGTAGAGTTGGTTGTGCTGGAACTGAATCTGGACAAACCTTTTTAGCGAAGTCGAACATCCATTGGGAGGAGTATTCTTCACTCTCATTGGAAGATGAGCGGTTTGGCATATAGCGAGCCTTTTTCAAAAGCATTGTCATCGAGGTTTCTCTAGAAAGTCCCTCGATAAAAGTACGCCAGTAATTTCGTTTCTTTGCTTTTAGTAAGTTTTTAAACTTTTTTTTCAAGCTTTAGATACTTTTCAAAAAGCTCAGATCTTTCATGTCTACGATAATCTTTAAAAGCATCGGATTCCTCAAGATACAACTTTATGCATTCGTCATCCCATCCAGGGGTGGCAGGTCTTCTTTTGAGGGATGCACTTGGAACACGTCGTTTCTGAGCTTCTAATGCGCTTTTGTAGATTAGTTCGGTAAAGAAATGATACTCTTCCAGTGGTGGTAGAGGATCGGTAGAATCAATACCAAGAGTTACCGCCGATACAAATGTTTGCCAATCAATGTTCCTCGTGAGGTCAAAAAGAACTTGAATTGACTGATCTGTTTTTAGACGACCACTTTTAATTGAAATAATAATTGGTAAGTGATCACTACCATGGGGATCATTGATAACCTTCCACAGACAATCTAATGATAGTGAGTTAGAGCACAAAGAAATGTCAAGACGGCTCTCTCGAGCAGGAGGGTTTGCTATACGTGTTGCTTCACCAGTGTTCAAGATAGTCAAGTTGAAATCGTCGCACAAATCATAGAAAATACCCGCTCTATTGTCATCGTATGATTCGCCCCAACCAGTACCGTGTGAGTTCATATCGCCCAGTATTAGAACTGGAGATGGAAGGATATTAACTGAACTCCAAAGCTGACGGCGGTTTATGGAAGTCCTTGGAGGGACATATACAGAAGCTATGCAAAGATCTTTGTTCTTCACATTTATTTGGCAAGCGACAATTTCAATGCCTGAAATTATTGGGATTGAGATTTTATAGAAGGAGTAGCACTGTTTGATCCCCAAAAGTACGCCACCATATGAATCATCTCGGTCCAGGTGGATAATGTTACAATCGTGGAAGTTTAGTTCATCTCTAGAAGAAAGCCAAGTTTCACAGAGTGCAAATATATCACAATCAGAATTGTGAATCAAATACTTGAACGAGTCTAATTTAGGTATTAAACTACGACAGTTCCATTGCAATAAAGTGATCATATCTTGATGCTCACTCGACGAATTATCCATCGAAAGATATGAATTCACCAATGAGAGGCCATGATACAGTCAATTGCTTGAAGTAGTTTCCGACTATAGGAACAAGCAGGTCAATAAGCCCTCGAAGTGGCGATTCGTAAGTCCTTAAATCTAATCTTTCCTCGCTTGGACGGGAGAGCTTTCTTTGAATTGCGAGTAGACGTGGTATTTATTTTTGGTAACCTCTTACGATTACCTTTATTAGGTAGCGGTGGGGTGGTATAGCTGCAGCAAGGATCAGATGGAGCAGCAATTACCGATTTGTTCGGCTTTTTTTAATGAATCCCCGCTACCTTCAGATTTTTGCAAGCTTTTGAGAGTGGTTTTATTTTTTTCCGGCGGACTCCCGGGGAGCTAGTCGGCTTCCTTTTACCGGGGGCGTGTACGTCCGGAGACTCACTCTCATCTGCTATATCAGAGTCCATTTTATCAGAAGACAAAATCTCATAAGTGTTTCCATTTTGTGCGGCTGATGCCAACGAAGCAGAGGTTCCATTTTGCAACTTAACAATTTCTGCAAACGTCAGCTTGTTTTATTGTAGTTTTAATAAAAAATTTCAAATGGTTCTTAATGCTTTCGTCGTATAACCTTTTTGCCGCAAATCAATCTTGAAGTGCCTCAAAAATATTCCCTTCAAAACCTTCTCCAGAGTGGGCCAACTAGTCTAGTCTTAATGAAGTTTTGGGGGATGTAACAAAGGCAAAGCTGTCTTGACCAGAGTTTTATGAATGTTGTTTTATAGTAGCCTTGTAGTACTGCATAAAACGTAAAATGTTACTTGGGATGTCTGGTTTTATTGGAATCAGAGATTGGCCACTTTTCCCGAGCTTTCCGGGAACCTGTTTTGAACCGTTGGGTGCCTATTTTCATTATTGTTATGTGAAATGCCATGTCCACACAATTCTGGTAATCTTGATATGCCTTAAGACTATTGTTTGTTAAAATAATGAATTGTTTAATTTCTTCGGGGCTTTCCGAACCTGTTCGAAACTTGGAACATAGAGTTATGGTCTCTAATGAATTTTCTGAAAATTTTGATATGCTGCGTGTCTGATTTTGTTGAATTCAGAGATAAGCCACATCCGCCCGGACTCGACCAGAATGAGATTCTTGATATCCCTGTCGGATTATTTGCATATAGAAGGAGGAAGTACAGCTGATCATTAGCAACAACTAGTTCTTCAAAAGATATTGCATGTAAATTTTCACGTGGTCATGAGTGAGTAAACTGTGATTGTTGTTAACCTGTTGATTCTCAGTGAAACGTGAAAATAATTTTTGTAACATGTTTTGTTGTACACCTAAGTGGATGCTTCGAATAATCCCTCGCGAAGAATTTAGTATGACATACAGGAAAGAACTTTCAAACAATTTGTTTTATTGAAAACCGACGCTGGATAAAAGCGATGCATTCACAAATAAAATACCTAGAAACTAAAATAATTCATGGATTTCGCACAATTTTTCCCACTTCATCATGTATTCATGTCAACCGCAATTTTTCGGCAATCTTTTCCCAGGCTGCCTACGGTTGTATTCAGATGAATCAATTTCTCAATTAATCAAAATTCTTCATTAATATGCATATTCTAATGGAACCGCATCAACTGAAGAAAGAAAAATCCCAGACGATGATAGACGTGCTTCCGCGGTTTCTGCAACAGCCCTCTGAACAAATCCTCCAAATTATGAATTTCGTCATTCTGCCTGCCTCACCAAACACCCCGTGTTCCACGGATGACGCGAGTATATGCCCATAGCCTCCCTCTGCCTACGGAATAATGATGGTCGACGGGTCGACCGACCAGTGTGACGGTGTGGTGGCGTGGCGATGGTAGGTATGCGGGACGCAATGCTCGCGACGCCTAATGAATATTGTATTTCAATTTGAAACGCTTAAGGTAATGGGTCTGGGAAGCACTTCTCTCGAGGACCGTACCCTACCCACCGCGCTCGGTTCGATTCGGTAGAATTTCCGTGCTCGAGATGGTTTCATTCTGCTCAGGTTTTTCCTCCTCCTTCTGTCCTTGTTCTTTTTTATCGAAATCGTTGATCGTTGGGAGGAGGCTTTTTACCTCACCGGAAAAACTTACATGTTGGAATTTTTATGCACGGAATCTCTTCGGGGTTTTTTTTTCGCAGTCACCGCCGGTAGCTTCCCTTTTCGCATTTATAACGGTTTTTATTTTTATTACAGTTGATCCGATTTTCATCCAATTTTCCTTCTGCATTTTATCTTTCCAACCCCAAAAACGCACAGGTCCTGATGGAAGGTACACCCAAGTATCTTGATTACACCGACGTTATGCAAACGTTCCTCCAGATCGAAGGTGTCGTACGGGTACATAATTTAAGAATATGGGCACTCACCATCAACAAGATTGCGCTGTCGGCTCATTTGGCTGTCGGTGAGTATATTTGCATGTTATTTCCTCTGTGTGTGTTGTGTGTGTGTGTCTTCGCCCGCCTACGACGTGTTCGTTTGCAGGATGAAAACAGGTGTTGCGTGGGTGGATGAATTCATATTAGGACTGAATCACGGACGGAAGACTTACTGTTGCTGGTTAGCTTTTAGTAGTATATGTTTACTGTGGGCGTTCGTGGTGTGATTTTTCATTGAGGGATCAGGTGTTAGCCAATATTTTGATAAAGGAAATCATTAATACCGGTACCGTATACAAATTCTTCTTCTTCTTATTTTGCTTTATTATAGAGACTTTCAGCCCTTAGTTGAAATGTCGGCCTAATTTTAGACAACCCTTCGTGGAAGTGTTTTTTTGCAATGCCTAATACATGGTCGGTCACTACTCCTGGAGGCCCTTCTGTTCCATAAAAAAACCCATTTTGATCCATCGGGCAGGTGTATAGACCCATTGTTTTCCAGGAAATCTCGCTTTTGATATTTTTTGGGAAAAAAATAGGCCCTAGGTTTTGTTCTTATTTGTCCCGGTTTTAGTTCCTTTCGGGGTTCCTAAAACATAACCAGTGTGGTTCTGGGCACTTCAAATAACTACCATGGACAAAGGACCTATTTTCAAATCAATCAAAATTTCTAAATGACCATTTGAATTGGTCCTACCTGAATTGATCGATTCTCTTTGCCTTTTTTAAAACTCTTTATCTATTCCAAATTCAAATTAAATGACATTTCGTTTTAATCTAGGTGCTCCAGCGACTACAGTAACTTATCAGCCTTAATTATTATGATATATATCTAAGTGTGCAAACATTCTTTTTGCTTTATCAAATAAGTATTTTTTAAACAGGTTTTCTATTCCTGTATGTCAGAATAACAATTGTCATCTCTAAACTAAATCTTATCTAAGTATAAAGGGAATTAATCGTTGCAATTGAGGATTGCAACGATTTTTGCCAGGCGTTATTAATTATTTTGTTGGACATTTCAAGCTGAACATTGCATTAGGTTCTAAGTAACATTAACAGATTCTCTTCGTAGATTTTTGCTTTGTATCCCCACTGCCAGCTAAAGACATTCCAAGGTATTTTCAGCACACAAATTGATAAAAAAATCTTTTATCTAGCATCTAATAAGACAAACACAACAAGAAACGGTTATGTGCTCAAGTTATTAGAGAAAGAAAAAGTCAACAAAGAGAATCGATCAATGTTACTTAGGACCTAATGCAATGTTTAGCTGGATTTGTTCAAAAGTCTCAACATGCGAAATTCTTTGTACCTCGGTAGTACTGTACCAGGGAGGCAACTTCAAAATCATCTTCAAAACTTTGTTCTGAATCCTTTGAAGTGCTTTTTTATCCTGGTAGTGAACCAACTAGACCAAATTGGCACAGCGCACAGTGGTCTTAAAGTGCCAAAACGCGCGTTTTTCAGTTTAAGCGAAAACGGTTTATTTAAGGGGGATTTCCGGTTTAATTGACCTAAACTTTGGATTTTTTCCAAGGAACTGGTAAGAGTTAGAGACCTGAGTTTTTTTGTCAAATCTTTATTCATTCTTGCTCTACAACTGGGAATTTTTTCAAGTCCAAAAATCTAAAATGGCGTCCAATATGGCGGCTGCCCAGCGGGTACTTCCCAAAACTGCGAGCAGCCTAGAGGTCGCAAATCGTCACCTAGAAAAAAATCGGCTCAGTTTCTTGAAGAGTATAGTTCAGAGAATGGAATGAACTAGAATCTTTGAAAAATCTCAAAATTTGACAAAATGGTGGGCATTTGAAAAAAAGTAATTTACCTAGTTACCGCCATTTTGTCAAATTTTGAGATTTTTCAAAGATTCTAGTTCATTCCGTTCTCTGAACTATACTCTTCAAGAAACTGAGCCGATTTTGTTTCTAGGTGACGATTTGCGACCTCTAGGCTGCTCGCAGTTTTGGGAAGTACCCGCCGGGCAGCCGCCATATTTGACGCCATTTTGGATTTTTGGACTTGAAAAAAATCCCAGTTGTAGAGCAAGATTGAATAAAGATTTGACAAAAAACTCAGGTGTCTAACTCTTACCAGTTCCCTGGAAAAAAATCCAAAGTTTAGGTCAATTGAACCGGGAATCCACCTTAAGCCGTATAGTGTCTTCGGAGAAGTGTGTGCACTTGTGCACAAAAAGCTCCTTCTTTTGAGCTAAGGCATTTAATGATTAATCCACCTAGCAGGGAGATGAAAACTTTACTTTTTTTGTTTGTCGAGATAGAAAAATGGTGTATTGAGCAAAATTTTGGACAATATTAGAACAAACATTTTTGCTAAAGATGTCAACCCTCTATCTTTTATGTTTACAGAGATATGTCATTTTTTGGTAAGAGCCTTCAGAAAATCATTTTTTTGCAAATAACTTTTCAGGAAGTAATTTTTTGACATAAGCATGTTGTACACAAATGTTTTTTTTTTTTATATAATACGCCTTTTTGTCTTGAGAAACAAGTCCATATCTTCAATATTTCTTAAGATATTCAAGGGTTTGATCAAAAATTAGCACTATTTCCAAGGTCAATAGCTCGAAGTTGGGCAAAATTGAGCAAACCAGGTTGATTACATTTGAAAGTATACTTACAATGCTGTCCAATGCATACCAAATCATTAGTCTTCTTTTGTATTTTCTGCAGTGCCGATCTGCTTATTACCAAACTATAGTAAACCGTGTACAGATAATCGTTTTCTTGCATTTGTACATGGAGGCTCCTCCATACGTCACTTACTCTTGGTGTTGAAGGAAGCAAATTCGAATTCGGTTAAATCGAAGTAGGCATACAGAAAAAGAGTAAGCGTTGCAAAGCCGCGTGTGCTAAAAGTTTTGATTCCAAATTCTAAATTGTAGTGACCGGTTGACTGGAAAATAAGGTGATTCGTAATGTCTATTGTAGTTATTGGTTGACTGAATAAACAGTGGTTCTTGTTTCTCATGGCGTCTATTGTATTGTTAAAAAAATGTTTGACCCGTTAATTTCAACAATAACACCTCTTCCAAAACAAGCAAAACTGCTATAAGATGCTCAAACTCTTCTAGTTCCATTTACCGATGCATGAACCGATGGTGAAACAGAAGTGAGCGACAATTCTGAAAGTGACGAGGAAATGGGTGATCCATATTTTTTTCTTTGAGTTGTATAAAACGGTTGATGAAATATAACTATATTGAAATATAGGTACTAATAATTTGAGGTAGTAATGTTGTTTTTAATGTTCATAAAAAAAACAACAGTAACACAATTATACAGGAGGTCGTGACCCTATAGTTCGGTAATAAGCAGATCAGCATAGAATACAAAAGAAAACTAATGATTTGGTATGCAATGGGCAGCATTTTAAGTATACTTTCAAATGTAATCAACCTGGTTTGCCCAACTTCGTGCTATTGACCTTGGAAATAGTGCTAATTTTGGATCAAAGCCTTGAATATCTTAAGAAATATTGAAGATATGGACTTGCTTCCCAATACAAAATGGCGTATTTTTAAAAACAAACATTTGTTAAGAACATGCTAATGTCAAAAAATTGCTTCCTGAAAAGTTATTTGCAAAAAATGATTTTCTGAACGCTCTTACCAAAAAAATGACATCTCTGTAAACATAAGAGATAGAGGGTTGACATCTTTAACTAAAATGTTTGTTCTAATATTGTCCAAAATTTTGCTCGAGACACCATTTTGCTATCTCGACAAACAAAAAAAGTAAATTTTTGATCTCCCTGCTAGGTAAATTAATCATGAAATGACTAAGCTCAAAAGAAGAGGCTTTTTAAGTGCACAAACTTCTACGAAGACACTATATGGCTTAAATGGACTGTTTGCGTATAAATCAAAAAACGCACATTTTGGCAATTTTAGACCACTGTGCAGCGTAAAGGATGGTCGGTCCAATAGCTTGTTTAAATCTTAGAAGTTTATTGTTCAGGCAAAGTTTGGATTTCTGTTTATAAGAGTATACAACTTACCTACCTCAAGTCGTCTCCACTCTACTCGATCCATGGCCACACTTCGCCAGCCTCGTAGTCTGCGGAGGGTCCGCAGGTCGCCTTCTATTTGGTCGATCCACCTTGCTCGCTACGCGCCTCTTCTTCTTGTTCCTGTTGGGTAGCTTTCGAAAACCATTTCGACTGGGTCGTCGTGCGGCATTCTTACGATGTGCCCAGCCCACCGTAGTTGCCCAAATTTGCAATGACGACGATGGATTGTTCTCCCAGCAGCTGGTGCAATTCGTGGTTCATTCGCCTCCTCCTCGTTCCGTCATCCATCTGCACTCCACCGTAGATGGTACGCAACACCTTCCGTTCGAAAACACCAAGGGCGCGTTGGTCCTCCACGAGCATAGTCCAGGTCCCGTGGCCGTAGAGCACCACCGGTGTCTTGTAGATACTCAACTACGTGCGGCGGCGAATTTTATTCGACCGGAGCGCCCTCCGAAGTCCAAAGTACCCATGTAACCAACAAGCCCGCTATTCACCCTTTGTGCAATATAAGGTTGATATACGATTGATATAAAATTAGGAAACCATATATTTACCTTATATCGCAAGAAGGGCAATTATCGGGCAGCTAGCCGGCTTGGTGGTTACTTGGGTAATTACGATTCCCTGCCATAAAGCGTCTTCAGTGTTTACTCGGCTTTCGACAGAAGCAAGCAACTCCCGATATGTGTCACGCTATCGTCTGTTTTCTCGGCAGCAACTATAGTGTGGTCCTCCTCATTGTTCTTCATCAGCAGTTCTTTCGGTCGGTGCGTCGTCGACTTTGGAAAGCAACCTTTTCGTGATGAGTATGTGAGTGCTGACCACGTTTTGCGTTCATTGCTGCAATGGAAGCACTTTGCCCCCCGTTGGCGATTCTGCCATACAATGAAACCAATTGAAGCGGCTTCCGTTCTAATGGAGGAGGCTTTCTGGATAGCGGAAGATAACGTGTTTATTGTGTTGTACCTTTTGACTATAGTTTTACGATGTT